GGAAGGAAGGAAGGGGAGAAGGAAAGAAGAAAAGGGAAGGAAAGAGGGAGCGAAGAAAGGAGAGAAAGAGGGAGGGAAGGTTGGCCACAGCAACGCGTGGCGTGGCAGGTACAGCTAGTGTGTGTGTGTGTGTGTGCGCGCACACACACACACACACACACATATACACATACACATATTATACACACGCACACACACACATACACACTAGCTGTACCTGCCACACCACGCGTTGCTGTGGCCAACCTTCCCTCCCTCTTTCTCTCCTTCTTTCTCTTCTTTCTTCACTCCCTCTTTCTTTCCCTTTTCTTCTCTCCTTCATTCCTTCCTTCCTTCCTTCCTTCCTTCTCTACCTCTTTCCTTCCTTCCTTTGCTTTTGCTTCCATCCTTTCTTCTTTCTTTCCTTCCTTACTACTTTCTCTCCTTCTTTCCCTCCTTCCTTCGCCACGCCACGCGTTGCTGTGGCCAACCTTCCCTCCCTCTTTCTCTCCTTCTTTCTCTTCTTTCTTCACTCCCTCTTTCTTTCCCTTTTCTTCTCTCCTTCATTCCTTCCTTCCTTCCTTCCTTCCTTCTCTACCTCTTTCCTTCCTTCCTTTGCTTTTGCTTCCATCCTTTCTTCTTTCTTTCCTTCCTTACTACTTTCTCTCCTTCTTTCCCTCCTTCCTTCGCCACGCCACGCGTTGCTATGGCCAACCTTCCCTCCCTCTTTCTCTCCTTCTTTCTCTTCTTTCTTCACTCCCTCTTTCTTTCCCTTTTCTTCTTTCCTTCTCTCCTTCCTTCCTTCCTTCCTTCCTTCCTTCCTTCCCTACCTCTTTCCTTCCTTCCTTTGCTTTTGCTTCCATCCTTTCTTCTTTCTTTCCTTCCTTACTACTTTCTCTCCTTCTTTCCCTCCTTCCTTCGCCACGCCACGCGTTGCTATGGCCAACCTTCCCTCCCTCTTTCTCTCCTTCTTTCTCTTCTTTCTTCACTCCCTCTTTCTTTCCCTTTTCTTCTTTCCTTCTCTCCTTCCTTCCTTCCTTCCTTCCTTCCTTCCTTCCCTACCTCTTTCCTTCCTTCCTTTGCTTTTGCTTCCATCCTTTCTTCTTTCTTTCCTTCCTTACTACTTTCTCTCCTTCTTTCCCTCCTTCCTTCGCTCCCTCTTTTCTGCTCTGAAGATGCCACTAGCCACAAATGCAGGCGAAACGTCAGGAAAGAATGCTGCTGGAATCATAGAATCATATAATCGTAGAGTTGGAAGAGACCTGATGGGCCATCATCCAGTCCAACCCCATTCTGCCAAGAAGCAGGAATATTGCATTCAAAGCACCCCTGACAGATGGCCATCTAGCCTCTGTTTAAAAACCTCCAAAGAAGGAACATAGCTATGCAGCCCGAAAAACTCACAGTAACCCAGTGGTTCTGGCCATGAAAGCCTTTGATAACACAGCAGTTTAAACTGCTTGAAATGAATGCTTTTAATATGATTGTTTACTTAGTGGTGCTTTTTTTTGCACTTCTTTATTATCCCGCCTATTCGGCCATCCAGTCCAAGAGAGGGTGCCTCCAGGCAACAACAATGCAATTACCATCACTAATTGACTTAGAATCATGGAATCCTAGAGTTGGAAAAGACCTGGTAGGCCATCCAGTCCAACCCCAACAGAGGGTGCCTCCAGGCAACAACAGCCTGGCCACCTATGCAAATACCATCACTGATTGACTTAGAACCATGGAATCCTAGAGTTGGAAAAGACCTGGTAGGCCATCCAGTCCAACACCAACAGAGGGTGCCTCCAGGCAACAACAGCCAAACCACCCATGCAAATACCATCACTGATTGACTTAGAATCATAGAATCATAGAGTTGGAAGAGACCTCCTGGGCCATCATCCAGTCCAACCCCATTCTGCCAAGAAGCAGGAATATTGCATTCAAAGCACCCCTGACAGATGGCCATCCAGCCTCTGTTTAGAAACCTCCAAAGAAGGAACATAGCTATGCAGCCCGAAAAACTCACAGTAACCCAGTGGTTCTGGCCATGAAAGCCTTTGATAACACAGCAGTTTAAACTGCTCGAAATGAATGCTTTTAATATGGTTGTTTACTTAGTGGTGCTTTTTTTGCACTTCTTTATTATCCCGCCTATTCGCTCCATTTCAACTCCCACCGTGAGCTGTCTGGAACCTCCTGTGGTGAGAAAGGCAGGTATGTAAATGCAACGAAGCGGAATCAAATTAAGCAGGAATGGCCCCCATAGCGCCGGGTTCACTGCCGGGGACTTGCTCTGCCGCTCTGCTGTTGACGATGACCATATAATCTAACAGTTAATAGTTTTAGTAGTTATGTATCTAGTACAGGCATGAGCAAACTTTGGCTCTTTTTGCAGGTGTTTTGGACTTCAACTCCCACAATTCCTGGCCTCAGGCCCTTTCCTTTTCCCCCTCAGCCGCTTAAGCGGCTGAGGGGGGAAAGGAAGGGGCCTGAGGCCAGGAATTGTGGGAGTTGAAGTCCAAAACACCTGCAGGAAGAGCCCAAGTTTGCCCATGCCTGGTCTAAAGTGAACAGCACTATTTATTTAGCCTAGAATCGTATCATCTATTTAAGCTGCTGCATCACACTGTTGGCTCACATTCTCTTAAAACACCTAGATCCCTTTCCCATGCAAACGTAGGGATTGTTTCATAGGAATATATAATAATAGAACCTTAGAATTGGAAGGGTCCCCCAAGGGCCATCCAGTCCAACCCAAGCCAGGCAGGAAGGTTCAATCCGATCCCTCCAAACTGATGGACATGCAGGTCCTACTGGAAAACCTACAATCACAGGATCCTAGAGTTGGGAGAGACCCCAAGGGTCACACAGTTCTACCTTCCTTCTACTAGAAAGGAAGGCACAATTCGATCCCTCTCGACAGAGGGCCATCCAACCTCTTCTGGAAAACCTAGAATCACAGAATTGAAAGAGATCCCGAGGGCCATCCAGTCTAACCCTTTTCCTCCTGGCAGGCAGACACAATCTAATCCGGGTTGTTGTAGGTTTTTTTGGGCTATATGGCCATGGTCTAGAGGCATTCTCTCCTGACGTTTCGCCTGCATCTATGACAAGCAACCTCAGAGGTAGTGAGGTCTGTTGGAACTAGGAAAAATGGGTTTATATATCTGTGGAATGACCAGGGTGGGACAAAGGACTCTTGTCTGCTGGAGCTAGGTGGGAATGTTTCAACTGACCACCTTGATTAGCATAAGATAGCCTGGCAGTGCCATTATATGGTAAAATTAGAACAGAACAACAGAGAGGAAACAAACAAGGACATCTAACCAACTCTCAACAAAAGATTGCTCCAGACACTACCAGGCAAGCAAATGCTAATCAAGGTGGTCAGTTGAAACATTCACATCTAGCTCCAGCAGACAAGAGTCCTTTGTCCCACCTGGTCATTCCACAGATATATAAACCCACCTTCCTAGTTCCAACAGACTTCACTACCTCTGAGAATGCTTGCCATAGATGCAGGCAAAACGTCAGGAGAGAACGCCTCTAGAACATGGCCATATAGCCCGAAAAAACCTACAACAACCCAGTTATTTCGGCCATGAAAGCCTTCGACAATACAATCGAATCCCTCCTGGCAGATGGCCATCCAACCTCTCATGGAAAACCTCCTGAGCAGGAGTGTTGTGGTTCAGCAAGTACATGGAATTTTTCTGATACTTCTTCAGAGGATGAGGGAATTTATGGGTTTCAGAGCATGCCAGTGATCCAAGAGAATTGCAGGCCAAAGAGGCCCCTGTTTAGGTTTCATGTGCTCGTTCCCAAGCAACAGACAGTGAAGATAGCCGTTCTCATGTAAAATGAACTTCCATTGATAGGGAGTTTTCCCAGAAGTCAAATTAGGTCTCTGGATGGAGGGAGTGAAAGATAGATGATGTAATTAGGTGTTGTGAGAAGGCCTGTGGGAAGGCCTGTGGGAAGACCTTGAAGCCCAGGCGTGTCAGATATGATGTTATGGTCGGTCTTCGGCTTAAATTAAGCGATTTTTACTTGGTGCCTTCAGTGGAGACAACATTGCTATAGTGCATTCTGTCTCGACTCTCAGGTTCCTTTCTTTGCCTATGTTCCAAGTTCATGATTCCTTGTTTGCCTATGTTCCTGGAAGGGTTTGCTTTGGATAAAGTTCCTGCTTTCGTGCTTATGGATTTATGCCTGAGTTTTTGCCTCTCTTGATTTCATGTACCTTACCTCTTTTGGATTGCTACTGTTTTGTATATAGACTGCTGATATTTCGTATTCCCTTCTCTGTTCCTCATTTGGAAAATGCCTCTTTTCCCTGCGTACATGCCTTTCTCAATAAACTGCTGCAGTTAGTACTACTGGACAGTCCTGGCCCAACTTACTTGTCCGAACGCATCTCCCCTTATGAACACTCCAGGACTTTAAGATCGTCTGGGGAGGCCCTGCTCTCGGTCCCACCTTTGTCACAAGTATGTTTTTCAGGGACGAGAGATAGGGCCTTCTCAGTGTTGGCCCCTCGGCTATGGAACACCCTCCATAAGGATATTAGATTGGCCCTCTCCCTTCTAGCATTTTGAAAGACAGTCAAGACTTGGCTCTTTGAGCTGGCATTTCCAAATACAGTGTAACAGACATAGGAAAATGGAATGGTTGGACAATGTGTTTGGACAAAGTTTTTAATAGGAGACTCTAATGTTCATATTTTTACTAATTTTGTAATGGTTTTATTATTCGTTGGTTTTATGGTATTGATATTGTATTTTAAGGTCTTGGTACCAACTATAAACTGTCTCGAGATGCCTTTGGGCAGAGGGGGATGGTATATAAATATAGTAAATAAATAAATAAATAAATAAATGAATGCTGGACTCTGTTGTGGTGCTGCGTGAAAAAGTGTCTCAAGGCTAGAGTGCAACAAGGAGACTCCCATACGCTTCCTTATCCGGTCCCCAGGCCCATCTGCATGCAAAACAGGGGGCTTAGCCACTGACCCAATGCCCCGCACTGACCTCAAAGAGGGCCATGTTCTTCCCGTCATACTCCTTCGCCTTCTCCAGGTCCGTGCTGTTGATGAAGGGGCTGCTCTCTTTGGGGTTTCCATCGCCTGCAATGGGGAAGAAGAAGAAGAAGCTACAGTAAGCATGGTGTTGCATGTTGCATGTTGCAACATGTATCTCCCTCTATGTTCCGCCTCGTAGTTTAAGATCCACCGGGGAGGCCCTGCTCTCGGTCACAAAGAACACAGATATCTATAACAAATAGCAAAATGAAAGTTGCAAACTGTTATCAAAAACCGTGCTCTGTTATCCTTAACTATGCTAGTCGGTTTAAACTGCAAATAAATCAGTAAAGGATAATACCTGGCTATTCCGATGTGGCTTTCCAGAATAGGATAACCCCCAGCACTATGTCCCAGAAGCACTTTATTAGAGTTTAAGACTCTCTGCACGTTGCACTTGCCCAGAATTCCAATATACCACCTCTCACGCCCAGCACTTTTTTAACCTGTACCCATCATTGGCCCGGCCCTGGTTTTTATTGTGTAATAGTGTAATGTTTTGTTATTGCTTATGTTTTTAAATTTGCTTGCATTGTATTGTTATTGTCTGTTGTTGTTGTGTTGAGGCCTTGGCCTTTGCCTTTGGGAGATGCTAGCGGGGTACAAATAAAGTTTAATAATAATAATAATAATAATAATAATAATAATAATAATAATACATAATAATACATAAGGTACAAGGCTTAATGCTACTTTGTTGCCTCTCTCCAAAGTTTACTCATAAATACAGAGTTACAAATTCACTCTTCCGTATGATATATTACCACATGTGCAACAGACAATGTAGTGTATTGTATTAAATGCCCATGTGTCCTCTTATACATTGGGATGACTACTAGACCTGTCAAAATCAGGATCATGGAACATCGTTCACACATTAAAAACAATGACAAGAGACAGGGCCATCTCGGTGGTGACCCCCTGTTTCTGGAACTTGCTCCCCAGTGAGATTAGATCAGCGTCCTCCCTCCTTTCCTTTAGGAAAAACTGAAATCATAGTTTTGGAACCAAGCCTTAATGCTACTTTGTTGCCGCTCTCTGGAGTTTACTCATAAATACAGAGTTACAAATTCACTCTTCCGTATGATATATTACCACATGTGCAACAGACAATGTAGTGTATTGTATTAAACGCCCATGTGTCCTCTTATACATTGGGATGACTACTAGACCTGTCAAAATCAGGATCATGGAACATCGTTCACGCATTAAAAACAATGACAAGAGACAGGGCCATCTCGGTGGTGACCCCCCCGCTTGTGGAACTTGCTCCCCAGTGAGATTAGATTGGCGTCCTCCCTCCTTTCCTTTAGGAAAAACTGAAATCATAGTTTTGGAACCAGGCCTTTGGCTAGCAGGAATAACGACACTTTGGATATACGATGGTTATAACAATGGAAACACCTATATGATTGTATAACAAATGTTATTGTTTTTAATCTATTGTGTTTTTTATGGTTTTATATTGTTGATATTGGTAATTTGTGATAATTGCGGCATCAAATTGTTGCCAGTGTTAGCCACTCTGAGTCCCCCTTCGGGGATTGAGAAGGATGGGGTAGAAATGTTGTAAATAAATTGTAAATAAACAGCATCACCTATGATTTCAATAGTCTCCAGAATAGAAACATGCCTGCAATGCAAGCAGCAATGCAGTAGGAAAGCATTGCACCCCATTCTGTCCCCCACCCCACCCCATCCCACCAATGATTTTTTCCTGTATTGTCGAAGGCTTTCATGGCCGGAATCACTGGGTTGTTGTAGGTTTTTTCGGGCTATATGGCCATGTCTAGAGGCATTCTCTCCTGACGTTTCGCCTGCATCTATGGCAAGCATCCTCAGAGGTAGTGAGGGTGCTTGCCATAGATGCAGGCAAAACATCGGGAGAGAATGCCTCTAGACCATGCCCATACAGCCCAAAAAAACCTACAAAAACCCAGATTTTTTCCTGATTTGCAGGTCTTGAGTGGGAGCTATCCATTAGGATAGACATGGCCCTCCCTACAGGTGTTTTGGATTTCAACTTACACAATTCCTGGCCTCAGGCCCCTTCCTTTTCCTGGAAAAGGAAAGGGCTGAGGCCAGGAATTGTGGGAGTTGAAATCCAAAACACCTGGAAAAAGACCTGAAGTTTGGCCATACCTGTACTACACACACAGGTACTAAAAACCAGGAACAAAAATCGTGTTGCATAGCATAATATTGTGAGATCCCTTTTTGCATTCAGAGACACTCTTTAGCTATCCAAAGAGAGAAGGCTGGCCGAGTGGCCCAAGGGGCTGTAAAAGAGCCCATGCAAGGAATTGTAGGTTTGTGTGACTTTTGGTGCCTAGCCCCCTGCAACGCCCTATATCTTCTCCCTGAGCAAGCCGCGTAATAGCCAAGGGGGCCGGCCTCTGCTCCCGGCTGCTGGGCTAATGGAGGGTTCGGCTCCTTCCCGTCTTTCGAGCCATCGCTTCCGCCCCAGAAAGGCACTCCCATCCCTTTGTGCCGCCGCTTTCCCTGCCCATTACAAAAATTGCAGTCTTTTCCCGATGCCTTTCAAGGCTGCCGTCCATTGATCCCAGAAATGACTCATTGCACACTCACACATGCAAAAAGGGGGGCAATGCAATGGCAAACAGCACCGAGGAGATGCCAAGACTGGCGCAATGCCTTCACTGGGTTGCTGGAAGGCAGGAGTATCCAAACTTTTTGCAAAGAGGGTCAGAAGAGGCCCTTCTCTCGATCCCGCCCGCCTCACAGGCACGTCTGGCGGGGACGAGAGAGAGGGCCTTCTCAGTGGTGGCCCCCCGGCTGTGGAACACCCTCCCTGTTGACATCAGACAGGCGCCCTCCCTTATGGCTTTTCGTAAGAGCTTAAAGACCTGGCTATTCGAGAAGGCATTCAATTGAGACCCACACGAATCTGGTAATGACATTTGGAACGGACTATGGATTATGAGATTGGCTATGATTCTATGTTGTGATGGCGCGGATCTATTAGTGTGATTTAGATTAATGTGTAATTCGGTTGTTGTTATATTGTATGTTTTTGTAGACTGTTTTTTACATGTTGTACACTGCCGCGAGTCGCCCCAGGGCTGAGAGCGGCGGTCAACAAATGAAGTAAATAAATAAATAAATAAATAAGATCTGGCAAGGTGAAAGTGTGTGTGTGTGTGTGTGTGTGTATGTGGGGGTGTGTGTTATGAATAACTTTTCAATAACATTAAAACATAGGTTCTTATTATTGCAATCTTAATATTGCAATAGATTCATCGCTGAGCCTGGAGCCCCAGGTTTCAGTGGTGACCAGGAGAGCATTCACACAATTAAAACTTGTGCGCCAGCTGCGTCCGTACCTTGGGAAGTCTGACTTGGCCACAGTGGTCCACGCTTTGGTTACCTCCCGTTTAGACTACTGCAACGCTCTCTACGTGGGGTTGCCTCTGAAGACTGCCTGGAAGCTGCAGCTAGTCCAACGCTCGGCAGCCAGACGACTAACGGGTGCTGGGTCCAGGGAGCACACCACTCCGCTGTTACACCAGCTCCACCGGCTGCCAATCAGCTTCCAAGCACAATTCAAAGTATTCTCCCCTACGAACCATCAAGATTAAGATCGTCTGGAGAGGCCCAGCTCTTGGTCCCACTGGCTTCGCAAGAGCGTCTGGTGGGGACGAGGGACAGGGCCTTCTCGGTGTTGGCCCCTCGACTCTGGAACTCTCTCCCACAGGAGATCAGAACCACCCCTTCTACCCTGACATTCAGGAAGCAGGTGAAGACGTGGCTATGGAGACAGGAATTCGATGAGTGAGCCAACACCCGGAGATTGGATGGAGGATGATGAACATCCAATTTAGTGGGACGACTGACCATTGTATTTATTGAATGTAATTGCTGTTTTGCTGTTTTAATGTTTTTAATGTTTTATTGCAATATGAAGTATGATGTTTACTGATTGTATGTATTTTACGGTTGGAAACTGGTCTGAGTCCCTCAAGAGAGGTGAGAAGGTCGGTATATAAAACTTTTAAATAAATAATAATAAATAATAAATTTTCCAGTGAGAAAAGGGGTATCAGAACGTTTACACTTTGACACAGTGAACAACATTAGAGACACAGACATATGGATTCTATATCATTACATACAGACATACAGATGCTATATAACTCCTAGCCGTCCCCTGCCACATGTTGCCGTGGCCAGTCTATGTATATGTGTTTTGTATATGTATATGTGAATATATATGTGTGTGTATGCCTCAGCACTATTTCCAATTTTAATTTTTATATTTGACCTCCCCACAGTTTTAATTGTATGTTGTTTTATTGATAATGTTATATGTTTATCGTCTATGTTTTTATTTCAATTGCTTGTATTGTTGTGATTATTGCTTGTATTGTTGTGATTATTGCTTGTATTGTTGTGTTGGGCTCGGCCTCATGTAAGCCGCACCGAGTCCCTTGGGGAGATGGTAGTGGGGTACAAATAAAGTGTTATTATTATTATTATTATTATATTTGTGTATATGTGTGTATATATGTGTGTGTATATGTGGTTTTGCGCATGCAGTGTAATGTAATTTTTTTTTGGCTTTTTAAGTCTCTTCTGCTGTGATTTTCAGTGTTTTTATGAGTGATGGTCAGGTCACTTGTTGGCCTGATAGGTGTCTTGTGTCCAAATTTGGTGTCAATTCGCCCAGTGGTTTTTGAGTTATGTTAATCCCAAAAACGAACATTCAATTTTTATTTATATACAAGAGTTGAATGAAAAGTAATGCCTCCACCTTCATTACTTGGGTTTGGATGGGAATATTTTAATAAATCAAATGCAGAAATAATCCTTAGAATTTCAACAGCAAGGAGGAAACCATGAAAATTAACAAAATCTGGCTATTAGTATTAAAAAACTAAAATTGCAACAACACAACAACTGAGAGGAAGCTGGCAGGGACTTCTAATTACCTCTCAACAAATGTTTGCCCCAGGCACAGTCAGGCCATTGTATGCTAATCAAGGTGGTCAGTTGAAACCTTCACATCTAGCTCCAGCAGACAAGAGTC